ACAGGCAAAACAATAACAACAGTTTCTTATTTACAATGTTGGCCTGAGATATAAATATAAAACATGAGATAAAGTTCTCCTTTTTTAATTTAATTGGTGCATTTTAAGTGTAGGGGTCACCTCGAGTGAAGAAACAAGATTTACTGCCTCAAAGCAGGCCTCGGACAGGCCTACTGAGAGAACAGGAACTCTGTCACAAACCGAACTCTATTTAGGCCATGACAGGTCATTTCAACCCAGAAGAGAACTCTTCGGTTCTCTTAATCAGATAATGGACAGAACAATCTTTTCTGTTCGTGATTCATTTGTTGTTAACTAAGAATGTTTATGCATTTGTTAAATCATGATAATGACTGTCACAAGAAAGTGAAATCACTTCTACTCTTTTATCGTACCTAAAAGATTAATTAATGGTATAAAAAATCACAGAGAAAATCATTACCATGTTTTCATTGTGTTCTTATACAAATCACTGTTTTTATTTTACTGGGAACACAGTAATATAATTGTGGATTTTTCTTGAAAAAATCTTTCATTTATCTGGACTAACAGAATGGTTCAGACTGATTACTTAAACAGAAATGTTAATTAATCATCATAAATGTTTTGCAGTGATTTCTCTTAGAGTCTATCTGGAGAAAAGCTAAAGAAATGTTATCATATTATGTTGATGGACAACCACAGAACTTAATCTTGACTGGCGCCTGGCTGGCAAGTCTTTATCTTTCTTCCTTTCTCTGACTCTAACGCCTGAGGGCGGAACCAAAGTTCGTCCGCATCTATTACTAACACGGACGCCTTTGAGTGACACACACTTCTTCCTGGATGCCAAACTTGGAAGGAATGCTGAGTTTCTCTCCGGAGAAGCCAGTTTTGGCTCGGTCTTGCCCATGAGCTAACTAGGGAAGATCTAACGGCCGGGACAGCGGCACACCAGCCAAATGTCCCACCCCGAGGCTGCAAGTCTCAAAGTGTGTTTTAACTCCCGAGGGGAGATTTTATTTTGAAAGAAGGCACCGGATGTACAGCTTGAATCTTTCTGGCTTGGACTGAAACAGACGAAAAGTTACCTGAAATAACACCTTTCTCGCCGAGGAACAGTGAGCGATTAAAAGTTCCCTGACTGATCGGAGGTGAGGCAGTGACTACCCAGGGGTGCTTAAGAAGACATCGCCAGGTAAAACTGACGTGTTCCGGGTGAGGTGTCATGTGGAAACTGAGTGCAGAAGGGATGTGCTGATCCGGTTGGCCACACTCTTGATAAAGTAAAATTTAGTAGCGATACTAACATTACTTTCCTCCTTTTCCTTGTCTTTATTTGCCAAAACTTAAGCTGAAAGTGCCAGTGAAATTGTTTGGTTGTAACATCAGAACTGACGTTTTACTGTTCTATATAAGTAATCTGAGTTGATGTGAATTAAAATTCGGACGCGAGTTTTTATCTCATTTAACTCCGAAGCTTGTCATAGGAATACCCACAATCAAGTGTAACTTATGATCTGTTCAATTTGTGTAAATAAATGATTGCATAGTCGTTCATGAATCAACTTGAACTCGTCTGAACGTTCACTTATTGTGTCACTTTTCACTTCGCACAGTCAAGATATTAAAAGTAATGAGAAAATACCTTGGTAAAACTTTCCACATAACCTTGTTTATGAGAGATGTAGGAAAAGCTTAATTCACTTAAGCCCCTCCCCTACATAAGTGTATTTATTTAGTGGTTCATACAATTCTGCTTTTATTTCTAATTATGTCAGTTTTGGTCCTCCGTACTGCAGAAGCCTGATAATCATCTTTTCATTCATATCAGGTGGGTTGGAGCAGAGAAACAAGTAAAACATGCAGGGCTGCAGCCCTCCAGGACCAGGATTGCCCATGCCTGGTCTGGAGGAAGAGATGAGAGGCACAGAATCCACGTTATTGGAGGTCCAGTGTAAAGTTTCTACAGTCAGTGATGGTTTGGGTCCATGTCAGCTGCTGGTGTTGGTCCATTGTGTTTTCTGAGGTCCAAGGTCAATGCAGCCGTCTACCAGGAAGTTTTAGACCAAAAGTTTGACCAACTTTATGCAGAAGCAGATTTTATTTTCCAACATGACCTAGCTCCTGCACACAGTGCCAAAGCTACCAGCACCCAGTTTAAGGACCACGGTATCCTTAATTAATCTTTAATTGGCCATCAAACTCTCCTGACCTTAACTCCATAGAAAATCAATTAAGTATTGTGAAGAGGAAGAGTCAATAAGCCAGATTCAGAAGAGCTGAAGGCCTCTATCAGAGCAACCTGGGCTCTCATAACACCTGAGCAGAGGCACAGAGTGATGGACTTCATGCCACGCCACGTTGCTGCAGTAATACAGGCCAAAGGAGCCCCAACTAAGTACTGAGTGCTGTACATGCTCATACTTCTGTCACGACCCGTCTCAATGGCCATGACAAAATAGCTAAAAAAAAAAAACATTAGACTTAAGTAAAACAAAAACTACATTGTTTATTAACTGAAAATGTCCATCTTGGGTGAGCCAACAGGAACCAGCGTGACCATCGAACCAGCGTGACCATCTCCCTCCGTCTCAGGTTGGGAAAATGAGAGAGAGAAGCACACATAGTGGCAGTCTTAACTCAGGCTGGGATCACTGGCCAGGTGCTCCCAGTCAGGCTGATTGACACTGATAATCAGAACCAGCCGACAGAAAAAAAATAAAAAATAAAATAAAAAAAACCACAGACAGACCCTACCAAAACAAAGAGGCCGTCACACTTCTCATGTTCGTATGTTTAATTTGACCAACATTTCCAAAAATCTTTTTTTTTTTTTGTATTGGTCTTAAGTAATATTCTAACTTTCTGAGATACTGAATTTGGGATTTTCATTAGTTGTTAGTTATATTCATCAAAAATAAAAGAAAGAAACATTTGAAATATATTAGTCTGTGTGTAATGAATGAATATTACACACAAATTTCACTTTTTGAGAGGAATTACTGAAATAAATCAACTTTTTTTGATATTCTCATTTTATGACCAGCAATTGTTTCCTGTTAGGAGAATGCCTTGCAGAGAAACACTGCATACAGTCACCAGAACTGGAGGCCAAATGATAACAGCTTTTTTGAAAACATGACAGAGTACACAGCGAGAGTATTGTGATGTTTGCGTTTCAGACACGTTATTACTTATGTAAGCACTTCTTAATACTATTTATTCAACAGTTTTTTTTATGAATTTTAAAAAGTATGAATCTGTTTTAAGCATCTATAAAATAAAAAGAAATGGAATTTATCAGTTTTAAATGTTCATTAAGTAAAGAAAGATTTTACAATAAGCAAGACCCAATGTCTAGTGTAAGAGACATTTGATAAAATTTAATTGAATGACATTTATGAAAAAAAAACTGTTGCAATACGTTTCTTTTAACCTTAATACAGTATGTAAACTATTTAAAAAATCTAAACACTAAAACTTTTTCTCTTCTGGGTCTCAGGGGGAAACTTTCGATATCTGGCAGTTTTTACAGTTCACTATGTATTAAGAGTGTATTATTAGTTTAAACAAAGAAAAACAATGTTTTTTGAAGTTTGCTGAGCAAAAAAATGTGCACAACAAAAAGATTTAGCAATAAAAATGTGAATCATTTAAAAAATATTTATAGTAGAACTTAAAAAATTATTTAAAGATAATTTTTGCTTAAATACTACTGTATATTTTGCATCTTTTCCTCAGAAAATTCAGAAACGGTGCTAATGTGGTGCAGGTAGAACACACAGAGATGTTTAAGTTGAATAGTTCAAACATGGTAACGTTTCAGAAAATAGCTGTCTAGACATGCTGAAAGTGGAGACTGTGTATTTTCAATGAGCGCAGACAAAACACTTCATTTTCTTACCTTGACATGTCTGCAGGCGTTTTCCCATCTAACAGCTGCAGCAGAGATGATCAGGTAAAGGACCCCTGCAGTTCACCTCCTGGTGTCTGGGTCAGCAACTATTTGAAGTATATTTTTGTCATTTCTGATGTGTATCATTAATGGGTAATAAAAACTTGCAAATTAAACAGCTTTACAGTTCACCCTCCACATTCAAAATGATTTGTCTGTTTACTTGGTAAAGGGTTTTAATTATTAAGTGTGCAGTCACCTGAGCATGCTGTCCTGAGGAGCGGAAGTGGTTCACTGAATGACCACAATCACCTTCACTGTTCTATGCATGCTGTGTGAGGTCTGAGAAGCAGCAGGAGGCACCTACCTGCACAGGTAAACGTGTTAAGTCCAGTGATACCTGCTGGAGACCGGAACCAACAGGCTTCAGCCTGAACCTTGTTCCAGATCCCCAGTTTGAAATTCCTCATTCTGATTATTTTCTTTCTTTCTTGTTATCTAATTGGTTGAAAGCAGGAACAGTAGGTCATTATCCACAGATCTGCTMTTGTTTATGAAGTCCAAACCAATTACTCTGCTCAGGCTTCATTACATGGCACCACCCTCTCCATTTTTTTTAATTTCTCTACTCGTGTTATTTTTAGGACCTCATGCCACCCTGTTATAACCATGCATTGTTTAATTTTATTAAGAATCACATTTTGGAAGCGTGCCAGCTCAGGTCATGGAAGTTCACTCCACTTGAGCTTCAAAAAAACTGAGACCCCTGGTGGTGACTTAGTGAGCTATTTGTGCATTGAGAAAGCAGAATTAATCAAAGATTTTGACTCGAGCAGCCGTGTTGGACTGATGTCCTGGCCAGGGTGTAACCCACCTCCTGACCAGTGGAGGTGGGCACCAGGTTCCTGAAATACTGAAGAAATGAGTTGGTAAATGTTGCAGAAAGGCCACAATACTGAGTGAGAATAAGGCTCTTGATGTCAGCTTCCACATGAGGTTTCCTGAAAATTAGTTTAATAAAACCTGAAAAAAAAAATCCAGATAAAGCAACTGATTATTTTTTCCTATATGAATGTCTTTAAATGTCACTGATCACAATCAGATAACAAGAAAAGAAGACAAGTCAGTGTGCTTATGTTTTATTCACTTATGTTACATTTTGCATCATAACCCCTGGTCAAACTCAAAGTTTGAGTCAGCACCTACAGTAATGTACTGTATTCTGTCTTCATTCACACAGGAAAACACACAGAAGCTCTCTGACACCCGTTACTCACTGGCTGCTTGGCTGCAAACATTTACAAAGTGGGAAACTACAAAAAACGAAAAGAAACAGAAAAAAAACCTGGTAAACTGAAAAAAGCAAAAACAAAACAGAGGCTCAAAATCAAAAGGAAGTTCTCAAGTGTTGAGTTACTCTGATTTCTCAATGCAGCACAATGTGGCCCAGCATTTCAAAACTACACTTATTCCCTCCAAACATAATAAATATGAACCATTTTTGCAGGCACAACTGAATGAAATTTCCTCTCTCCTAAATAGAAAGAAAATGACCAGAAAATGAAGTTGAAGGATGCCGTGCACAGTGTAAAACGGATACTTCTGTYTGATAATCCTGTAACGCCGGAATGCAACTAATAATAACTAGATGAGTAAAATAATAATGATATACATTGTTCCGTACTGTCATCAGAACTTGATAAAAGGCATAAAAGGAAATCTTTGTTACAGCCCAGAAAGGACAGTAAAGAGTAATTTCTTCTCACAGGAAAGAAACTTTAGTTTCACTGATTTTCATATCTTGAGGAGACTCCGACAAACTTGGTGTAACCTTTTTGTTCAGGCGTGGCGCTCAGTGAAGCAGCAACCAGGTGTGAGCAGTGGCATTTCGCTCAAATTTCAGCTGAATCCTAATTTAAGTGAAGTACTGTAGCGGTTTCAAAGCTGTCACTTCAGTTTCTTTGTCACACCCAACAAAGACAAACAAGTAAAGCAGAAAAAAAGTGGGATTACATGGTCTGGGAGGGTGGGGGGCAATGTGGCAACTTCCTTAAACATTAGAGTTTAACATTCCCAGCCTTCTACTGTAAACTCAAAGAACAATATTAGGGGAAAAAAAGCACAAACAAACTAAAATTATTTATTTTAACAATGAGCAGCAGCATTTATTTAAATATCTAAAACATACTTTAAAC